CAACAACTTTTTGTATCCTTTTTTAAATCTGATTTTATATGTTGATTCATGTTAGTTGACCCTAAACTCTTTTGGGACTAAGGCTCGGATGTTGTTGTCATCAACAACTCTATGTTTATCCATCATATGACTTTAAAATGAGAAATAAACCCACCAACCCCTCACTGGCCGCTGCCTCCACCACAACCCAAAACTTCAATTGCTTTACACTAATCCCTAAACGCTGAACCGCGAACTCTAGAGAAAGGGATCAAAGGGGTTGCCGTCGGCGACCCGCCACTGCTGTCTCCACCATTAAACGCTGAATACTCAACCCTAAACGGCTAAACCCAAAAGGTATAGATCATAGGGGGTAAAACTCCTAAAAAATATCTATGTAGGGCAATAGGTGTATAAAATATAAAGCAACATAGTAATTGGCAATAAAATAAGACTTGTATAGCTACTTGGTAAAAATGGGCATTGAGCTGCACTTATTGAACATTTTTCCTAAAAACTACTGCTTTAACATGAATATTATTCAAAAAGAATAACGTGTCATTATCATAGTTATTTATGTACTACATATATGTTTCCATGAAGCACATAGTCCTTGTAATGTGAAGATAAAAAATAACCCCTTCCATTCCTACATCTCCTAAAACCCCCTACAGGCCCTACCAAACAAAACATTATATTCTCCTAACCTACACATTTTTACATATTCATTTTTGGCACTTGTTATGTAGGCTAGAGAATATTGTTTGCCTTGCACACCCATCATTTCTAGCTACCATTCCTGATAATTATAAAGTTCAACACTGACTTGTTTTTACTACTTCATACCTTGCAGTCTTACCAGCAGCAACCTGATGCCAGTTTTGGGTTAGCCCGGCCCCGATAAGGGGCCTGGGCCATGCCTGCATCCTGCCAAAGTTTCTTGAGCACATGATTGAGAGGCAGCTTTCTGAGCTGCACATTTTTTCTTACATTGTGGCAGGATGCAGGCATATGCAGCTGAGGGTATTGGGAGTGGATGCATTTCAAGTAGAAAATATTCTTCAAAATTCATTCCACAAGCCCTCGGTTTTGGAGAGCTACTTCCATGAGCCATGTGTTATTCCCCACTGTTCGGAAGAGGAGCTCATATACTGCTGATGGCAATGAAGATGTCAAACAGAATAAGGAAGTTCGTATCTGAGTACAATTCTTCAATGGTTAGAGGTAAATTTCATTGCTCTTGCTTGCCCACTAACTACTTGTGGTTCCTCATGCACAAGCACTCGTTTTAGCTATTGTTGCAGTGAATTGAGATTCTGCACCTAAAACTTTCACCGCATCAGGACTTGGTGTCGTGCGTACAATGTTGCAGCGGCATGAGATTGATGCGGTAGACATCTTCACACTATTACACCACACGTAACTTGATACCTCCAGCGAGTTATGCTAAGGTTTATTTTAAAATGTCTTACTTTTCTTTTGATATAACATTATAAGAACCATTGTGCTTTCTAAACAAATGCTAACAATTTCATATTTTTTTAAAATCTTCATGCAACGTCCAACTGGGTAAACTATATATAGGGATGGAAAAGTTAATAAATAAGAAATATCTTCATTAAAAATATGTGGAAAAAGGGTCAAAACCCATGCACAATTGTAAAGCCGTCATCTAAACCCATGTACTAAAAAACATGGTTGTTAAAATCGCGAGTTGAATCGTAAAATCGTACGATTTTACGATTCAACATCACTAAACCGATTCAAATCGCAAACAAAATCGGAAATTTAAAAAATCGTATAAAATCGTTTTAAAATCGTATAGAATCGCTTAAAATCGCGATTGCATCCGATTTTACGATTTTAAAACTTATGTCTATTTCAGGCAGAACACGGGCCAAATCTCAAGCCAAACGCGGCCCAAATAACTTTAGCCCGTTATTGCTTAAGTAGCTGCTGCCTAGCTGTTGTGCGTATGGCACTGACATTATATAGGGAAAGTGGGATGACAACTTTCCTTGCGTTTTCGGTGTGGGAAAGTCTCATTTGAGAAATGAGAGAAGAAAAAACTATTTTAGAACAGCAAAATTTCCGCTCTAAACTACGAATCAAACCTGCACGGCTGCACCCCATTGTTAAAGGAGCAAATTAACTTTACCAACTCACCAATACCAACTGTTGATTTGTAGGAGTATTAACGTAGCTATAGAACGTGATTTAGTAAATTTGTAAAAATATAGTTATACTATTTCAACTACGTAGTGGAGTAATGTTTATACAGCGTTTCCAATCTAAAACTTGATTACTCCGTAAGTACTTATAACATTGCATTTATTTATTGAGTGACTTTTATTCTTGGTTACATAACATTATTTTGTGCACTTTAATTTGCAATAAATTAAACTTGAATACATCATTATAAGACTTAAACATATAGTGGTTTAACTTAGAGACTTAAATTTGCAATAAACTAAAGTATTAATTCATGTTAAATTGTATGTATCCTTTTATAATATGTTTAGTAATTTTTATTTAATTTTTTAATAAAATCTTACGATTTACGATTCGATTTTGCGATTCGATTTTTAAATCCTTATTACGATTCGATCAAAAAATACGATTTTAACAACCTTGCTAAAAAAGCATGGTATAAACCTATTTATTCTAAAAAAATGAACAAATCAGCCAATTTACCTGAAGTTGACCATTTTTAACCGGTCACTTGCTATTTGTGATATTTTATATTTTCTCTTTTTCCTTTATAATTTACATTTTCTTTATCTTTTTTCTTTCTCTATCTTCTTTGTTCGCTCCTTCCCAGACTTCATCGTGAAATGTCCTTGGGGTCGCTGGTGTGAGGAGCTCAAAAGGTCCAAAACTATTGGTCGACCTAAATCTCGAATCGAAGACGTTAGAGCAGTCCAACGATGATATCCTTCAGATTTGTCCACATGAAAGAGGTGGCTACCTTCTCTTCTCGCTGTGCTGCAAGAGGGACTGTTGTGCGTGCAGGGTCGCTGGATAAGGGAGGACAGAGCTCTCTGCTCTCCATTGAAATCACTAATTTCTTCACTCACCCAGTAGCTTTGTGCAGAGACTATTGAACGGACTCACTCATCTTCATCACTCTGCCACGTCCCATTAATAGGTTGTCGACCCCTAATTTCCATCTTTGTCCCAAACAAGTTGGTAAGGAAGACCACCGACTGGGAAATCCGTTCTCGCCGCTCAAGCGCCGTCCTCATCTGCCTCTAAAATCTGATTATATATATAATATATATTATATAATATCATTTTTTTTAGAAATGATTAATGAGAAGCTCTTAGTTTTGGGGGACACCCATTTAATAGTCATTATTTGCTTCCTAAACAAAATTGAATCAGGAAGAAGATGATAGGAATTGGGAATGGGGTGAACGGATCAGAGAAAGAAAAAGTAAAAAAGAAATGAAATAAAAATTTAAATCTGTATAATTAGCAAGTGACCAGCTAAAATCGTCAACTTCAAGTAAATTGGCCAATTTGATCCTTTTTTAAGAATACATAGGTTTATACAATGCTTTTTTTGAACATGGGTTTAGATGATGGTTTTACCGTGGGTCTATTTGACCCTTTTTCTTAAAAATATTTGACCCTTGTGCAGTGTTAGTGCTACAAAGCCCTCGTTTTTTTGGTGGACAACCGCAGCCTCTACAGATCTGGAAGAGAGAAGTCTTAATATGAGGAATTTGTTGAAGTGTTGGAGTCGCAAGAAGCAGTCTTTGGTGATCGATTGACCGACAGATGGGCTTTAATTGCTTTAATTGTCTATTACTAGGTCTAGGTGAACGAAATGCATATGTGAATATGTATTACACCTTTGGTTCCAAATGGTAGATTATTTTGGCTATGTTTTTATTTGACTTTTGATTTGCAAGTTATGATGATGATGATGATGATAATGGTGACATTAAAATTGTACCCGCTTTACCTTTTTTAAGTTGAGAGATTTACTTAAATAGGACTAAAACATAGTAGATGTGCATAATTAGGACCTTAAGTTTATTTTTTCTTAAATAGGACTCTTTATTACTGATTAGACACATTTGCCCTTAATGAAATAAAAACCTCTACATCTGCAATCGATGCACCTCTTATGCCGACACCACCCGTCCCTTTTTTGCTAGTCATCACAGCCAAGCCGATGTTGCCACTGCCCAGGGAGGCCGCCACCGCCACTGCCCAATGAGGACTCCACCACTGCCGCCGGCAAGATCGCCGCTGCTGCTAAATTCTCTCCTGGAAGTGTCGATATCTTCTCTTTTGCAACTACCTCCTCTAGAGTGTATGTTATGAGATTTTTATATTGAATTCTGACATAATTATGTAAACATAAATGACATTTTAGAATTAAAACTCTGAAATATGAGAAGCAAAAGAAAAATGAAGAATGTCAATAACTAATAATGTTGAAAAATTCAATTTTCATTAAGATTGACAGCATGATTAAAATAGTGACAAAACATGACATTTTTTGTTTAAAGCATTTTCATATGAAATTATAAAATGACATATCATGTCAATTTCAGTACATCTTCACAAAGTGAGTTGCATTAAAATGACACTATTTTGTCAAACAGGCCAAAAGCATGTCATTTTGCATTTTCATATGCAATTATAAAATGACATATTTATTTTCAGTTTAAACATAGCATTTTCATATGAAATTATAAAATGACATATTACGTCATTTTAAGTACATCTTCACAAAGTGAATTGCATAAAATGACACTATTTTGTAAAATGGATCAAAAAATGGCATTCCACAAATTCAATTTGTAAGTAATTTTGTCATTTTGATAGATGCAATAATATATAAAAGTGACATTTTTTCATTTCAAGTCCAAATGTCATCTTGAGGTGAATAAAATTAAAAACGAAAAATTAATCAAATTTTAAAATTAATAAAAGTTCAAGTCCAAATGTCTGTGCTTCATCGAACCATTATTAGATCTAAAGTCCAAGTAAATCATTTTTCCAATCATGGGTGCTTCATCAAAACAATATCAGATCTACTTGAATCCCATCCATGGGACAAAAAAACCAGAGCACGACCAACAGAAATGGAAGAGAAAAAAGAAAGAGGAGAGGAGAGGAGAGGAGAAGAGAAGAGGAGAGGAGAAGAGAAAAGGAGAGAAGAGAATAGAAGAGAGAAGGAGAACTTACTTGGTTTTGAGAAAAATCGTAGGTCAGCAGAGATGGAGAAGACTGGTGGTGGCTATGGCTGCAATACCGACGAGCGGCGGCGGCTATGGTTGTGGTACGGACGAGCGGCGGCTATGGCGGCGGTGATGAAAGATCGGGATACCACTAGGTTGTGAATGGGCTGTGTCTTGTTCACGGGTGTGGCCCTCTGGGGTCTCCGCTGCTTGGATTTTGGGTTTAATAATAGGAAGGGTAAAAAAGTAATTGGGAGTCCTATTTTGGAAATAATAACCTTATAGTCCCACTTTGGAGTTTTAACTATGTTTTAGTCCTATTTAGGATAATTTCTTTTTTAAGTTTTATTTAATCTAATCTTTGTCGAGTAAATGCACGCATTGTTTAAGGATCCAATGATCCATTTGGGGAGTACATCAGTTTCCACTTTTATGATGGTAATGGACTAATGGTTATTCATAAAAAAGAACAATTCAGATTGTAATAAAGAACCAGTAGTAACTATTAGAACCATGTTGCCGAAGTGATGTATCGTAGGGTTTTTTGGACTTTTGTGACTGTACAACAACATTCAAGCTTTATTTCCACTTTTTGATGTTTTTATAAGTGGTTTAGTCTGGTTTCTTGTATTTTATAACTATCCAAATAAAAACATCCCAATTCCCAAGTAGTAAGTGATTTGTATGTTACTCCGTAATATTAAGAAAAATGCAAAACAACCCTTGACTAACATGAATTGAATGACGTTGGAGCCAAAAAGAAAATAAAAATAAAAAGACAAGTTAAGATTAAAAAGAAAGGGCCAAAATAACACTAGTATAAGAAATTAAGAATATAACAAAGATAAAGATGATAAAAATGAAAAGAAAAAGAGAGAGAAAAGAGATTAATTTTTCATGCTATCTTTGTGACTCTATAAAGTGAATAAAATCTTGAGATCTTTTTTTAATTTATTTTCTTTGTTTTATAAAACCTTGAGATCTTTTAATACACAAATTGAAATTGGTCAAAATCAAAGATGAGAATGTCAACCATCGGTTCTCTCTTTATGTTTCGGGATAATAAGATACTCCGTATTAGGGCATCCTCATCCATAGATCGTTTTTGGGATCACTTCGATGATGTGAAAGATTTTTTTAAAGATCATGAATGAGAAGTTAAGATTATTTTGAAAAAAAATCTGGTATCAAATATCAAATCTGAATTATTAGGGATTATTTTCAAACTTTTAGACTCGTTCTCCAACTCCCAATGCATTTACACGAATACGTGAAGTGAGTTAGCTACCCTTGAGATTAAAGTGACCGTTTAGTTGTAGTTTATACCGTGGTCATAAAAAAGGTATAAATTCAAGTGTATGTCCCCATAAAAAAATCTGAGAAATTTGTGATCATGATTGAGATAGAATTGATAAATTTTGAGATTATTTATGTGGCAATGACATGACAATACCAAATCATAAAAAACTGTAAATTTGAGGAGCATGAATGAAGATGCTCTTAGTAACACATTAGTGTAGTGTTTCTGTTTTAGAAACACTTTGAGTGTTTGGAATTGATGTTACTGATTTTTTTTATAAGTAGAAATCGATTTTTAATGAATTATTCATAGGCTGTTCGCTCCAACTTTTTAAAAAGTGATTCTAAGAGCAATTTGAATCACTTGGAGGTAGGGGTGGACCTGGTCCGGCTCCGGTTCCGAGTCGGGCCCCAATGAGCTTGGGATTTGTTTAGTAAGACCCGGGACCGGCCCGAGAGTCTACCAGTACCGGGTCGGTTCTATTTTTTTAGATTTCCTTATTTTTTTCCAACCCCCACCCCCAAACCCCACCAAAACACCTAGCCCATCCCACCTACCGTAGGACCAAACCCCCAAAAACCAACAAAAAAAATGCCCGGATCAAGCCCGGACTGACCGGGCCGGTCCCCAAATTTGCAGTCCCAGACCCGCCCCATACCCCCCCCCGGGTCGTGCCAAGGCCCGGTACCGGTACTGGTCCACCGGGTCGGGCCGGGCCGGTTCCTGGGCCGTCGGACCGAACCCGGGCCAAGCCTACTTGGAGGTACTTTTGCATCTTCATTCAAACACTCCAATATACTCCCTCCGTCCCACTAAGATTGTCCCAGACACTATTCACATGGTCAACACAAATCACTCTTGATCTCTTACTTTATATATCAATTTTTTATCAAATTGGATTTAGGCTTTTGCAACTTTGTAAAGCTTTTAATGTAGTTTGTGAATATGTAATTTTTTTTCTAAGATTAATTTGAGAGTGGATAAAGATCTGTTTGCTTTATCGTCAGTCAAGCATCGTAAACCGAATTGTCCCAATTTTAGTGGGATGGAGGGAGTATGTTTCTGATCCTTAAATGAGGATAAGAAATTTTCACTTTCATTTTGTGCTGTTTTTTTTAAAACATTACTTATCTATAAAAACATCTAATTACTATTCCTAAATATTAAATACTCATCATAAATGCACTGCACTACAATCAATTTACTATTCTTAAATACTCATCATAAATCACAATTTTAATTCTCTTCATACCTTCTTTCGCTACTCTGAGCATTGTGCTTCATCTTTAGTGATCTTATATTTATTATTCTGTATTATTCTGGTGTCACCAGTGTTTTCTGATTTGGTTCATCTATGAAGCCATATCCAAACCCCCTGGTTTGGTTCATCTATGAATCCATATCCAAACCCCAGGTTTGGTTCATCTATGAAGCCATATCCTAAACCCCCTGGTTTTTCTCTTCTTTTACTGTTCAAATTTTGAGTTGTACATCCAAGTATTGATTGTGCTTTCCTTTCCTTGATATCCTCCTTACTTTAAACACCACACTATCAACATAAAATATATGTACATAGTATGATTTTAGAATAGATTATAAAACGTTCAATACATATAACTAGTAGATCTATAATATTTAGCATTAAAAGTTCAAAACTTTTTAAACTTACAATAAAAAATACTAGAGATCCAAAAAATGCATTGCTCTGTTGTCATTCCAGAAATCCTTTGCTTTGATTAGCGTGTGCAAAGTGTAGCCACATCAGTAGTCTATATCCTTCAATCTTGATTCATCATCCAAAGCTTTGAGATTATTTTGGTTCATACAACAATTCTGCTTAATTACCTTCCACCAAACCTGTCACTATCAAAACCAACAAATTTTTCTTAAACCAACCTCATCCTTCTCTGTTTTCTTCTAAAACCTTCTTCAGCTCACCTCTTATAATGAGGCCTTTATCATTTGGGAACTATTTTCTCCAGTCAGCTATCATATCAGCAGTCAGTTCACCCTGCGTTTCAATCTTCTCCTGGATATTTACCCTCTCTTTTGAGAATCCTACAGTGTAGTGCACAAAATCTTCATTAATGTACAGTTTCAGTTGATTGGGTAACATTAATGACACGCTCATGCTATCAAAGCAGTCTACAACCCAATGACGAATATGTGCAGACAATTGCTTGACTAGAAGGTAGAATAATGACCATGTGCACTATATCATTTTTCTGGTCATCAACTTGTCAATGACTTATGTCAAACTCTTCGAACAAAGACATTCTGGTCAACATCTTGGGAAACATCCTCCTCCTCCTCTATGTTTCTTCCAGATTTTTGTGACACTGGTCAATAGTCATATTTCTAGTAACTCTCATTTGAGTTTCTTCATTTCTTATTCTCTTTCTTCCCTAATAGGTTCTGTTTTTTAGCTTCATCTTTATCTCTTTATTGCTCATCTTTCTCCTTCTCTTGCTCAACATCTTCTGGCTCATAGTATTCCTCTCAACATTATCTTCATGCTGTTGTGGCGCATCTTCACTTTGGTGATCAACACACTCAGTTTTTTGTTGTTTTTCTTATTTTTTTTTTGGGTTTGTTTGGTGCTTTCGCACGAATCAGTGAGATTTCAGTTACAGGAATTTGTTGCATATTATTCCCTTCATCTCTGCATTATTAAGTGACATGAGTATGTTGACTTCTATGTTACGTAGTAGATAGTATATCTTTATATTGTGCATATGCATTAATACAATAGCAATGAGAAAACTTCATGTCAGGCCGGCCTGACGGGCTGCCCCGTCCGGCCGAGCCCGTTTGGGCACCTTCCCGGTGGAATTTTTTGATGAAATTTTTTGAGCATGTTCCTCATCAAGTCTAGTTTGTCCATACCAAATTTCAGCTCAATATTCGATCGGGAAGGTCGTCAAATGATTTTTTCAAGTTAACTGGTCCGGAAAATACATATTCCGGACCAGTTAACTTGCAAAAATCATTTGACGACCTTCCCGATCGAATTTTGAGCTGAAATTTGGTATGGACAAACTAGACTTGATGAGTAACATGCTCAAAAAATTTCATCAAAAAATTCCACCGGGAAGGTGCCCAAACGGGCTCGGCCGGACGGGGCATCCCGTCAGGCCGGCCTGATGAGAAGAGCCCTCCAATAGCAATTATAACACATTGAGTATTAATAGTGATACTATAGTTAGTAAATACTATAGTTACTAAGGGGGTGTTTGGATCTTAAAACGGCTTCTGCTCCTTCAGGGAGCAGAAACAGAAATTAGAGTGTTTGGGTGAAAGTGTTGATTTTGGTGCTCTAATTTACTCCCAGAATCAGTTTTTTAGAAGCTGGGGGAGACCAGCTTCTGAAAACTAGTTCTGATTCTGCTTTAAAAAAGAAGCAGAAGCAGAATCACTTCCAAACACCTCTTAAATGTAGATTTGTCATTGTTTTTCAATTTTTTTTCCTAATAAAATCAAATTGTATAGCATTATAATATGTCAAAAAGTGTCTCACTTTTATAACTTGTATAGCAATGAATTGTGGAAATACATAACTTCGGCTTGATTTAATAGCAAGTCCCACTCATCTCTTATATTCATTCAGCCATGTTGTGTTTCTAACTCAAACCCTAATGTCTAATTGTTCAATACTCTTTCTCTGTTTTACACTTCTAATTGAAGGTACTTCTCTTCCGTGAATGGCGATTTCTATGTTTTTGTGTTGGTCGTCGTCATTATAATGAATACATTATGAGAACTTATGACTGCTATGAGAAGATACTACTATTAAGAACATTTCCGACTAGTAGACTAGTAGTGATTTTTTGTTTTGAATTATACATTTGCTATCTTCATATTTGCCGTTGGATTGTTTTGCTATTTATGTTGTTGTTGGGCCTCTTTTGGACTCGTATTTTTTATGAAGCTTAGCACTATTCTCTGTTCTTTAAAAGTTGCAACAGTTTGATTTTCACATTTGTCATCTC